CAATCAGATCCTGATTATATTGTATTACTTCTCTTCAAGCTGGGCAATCAAGCTAACTGGTCTCAATTTCCTTATCCATAACATGGGAGCAATATTATTGTTATGTACTGAATGCATCTATTCTCTCAATATTTATGCTTTGAAGCTCTAGTCACCAAATAAATAAAATACTATTTTTATTTATTTATTTATTCTCTTTAGAGAAGAGGCCATTAAGGATATACTGAAGTTTAAAGGAGGTCAAAAAAGGTAGGACCCTAATCCAATACAATTTATGTTCCAGTAAGAAAACACCAAGCTGGGCACGGTGGCAAACACCTGTAATCCCAGGAGCTTGGGAGGCTGAGACAGGAGCATTTCGAGTCTGTCTCTAAAGAAAAAGAAAAAACACCAGCAAGCCTATTCGGAAGCAACTTTGATCTTGGACTTTTAAGCTTTTGGAACTATGTGGGTTAAGCCCACCAAGTCAATGACATCATGCTATGGCAACCTGAGAAGACTAATACAACTACCTCTGTGAGGCTGTAGAAAAGATTAGTAAATTACCTGACCAAACCTTTAGCAGTTATTTTCATTATTGCATGTTTTTGTTTTTTTGGAATTGAACCTAGGGGTGCTTTACCACTGACCCACATCCCCAGTCCTTTTCATTTTTTATGTTGAGACAGGGTTTTATAAGTTTCTACGGCCTCACTAAATGCTGAGGATGGTCTCAAGCTTGAGATCTCTTTCTTCAGCCTCCTGAGTTGCTGGGATTACAAACATGCGCTACTACACCCAGCTCACTGCACATTTTTCAAATGGATTAAAAACTTAGGAAATAAGGTTAAAATAAATTAAGACAATGTAGCTATGACCACTGTTATAAATAAAGGCATTAAGAAAAATTAATCTTGTTAGGTAGATAAATGATAGTAGACCTTAAAGGAACACTTCATGAAATTAACCCATTTCTTGATTTACTATCAGTTTAATGTTCAATGAACAGTCACATAAAAATAGTAACAATAAAAATTAGGATAGACTAAATCTAAAAAGATTACTGGTTGATAAATATTCTATCAAGGATGCAGTTCCAACCAGGCATAGTGGTACACGCCTTTAATCCCAGCCAGTTTG